CTACCTCTTCCTCGGCTAACTACTATAATTGCGGGATTTATGCATTAGAGCAAAAAAAATCCACTTTTATTGTTTGGATCGAAGGGGAAGCGGGCCGTGGAGCTCAAGAAGTGGGTTCCTGTTTAAAGAAATATATTTTATCTAGTGCTGTATCCGAATCTGTGGAAACCATCATTCTCTGGAGCGATTCCTGCGGTAGCCAGAATCGCAATATAAAAATGGTTCTCTTGCTAAAAAGTATTCTTAAGGATTCGGTACATTTAAAAAGTATTGGATTAAGGTTTCTGGTGTCTGGTCATAGTTTCCTACCGAACGATAGCGACTTCGGTGACATAGAATGCGCGATTAAGAGACAAAATAAAGTATTTTGCCCTCAAGATTACATAAACATCATGAAAACATGTAAAAAGAAGCGACCCATTGACGTACATGAAATAAAAAAAGATGATTTCGTTAGCACTAGGGCCTTAAGTAATTGTTAACAGAAAGAAAAGTTGTACCTAAATGTGAAAAAGTTAATTGGCTCCATATAAAAGAAATAAAACTTATTAGAGAAAAAAAATTTAGTATCTTTATAAAAACGGACTATGTTGATGAGACTGAATATAAAGAAATAAATATAAGGAAGAGAAAAAAATCAAAGGATTCAGACGTACAGTTTTCTTAGTTACTGGAATCGCTATGGCCAAACGGGAAAACAGTGGCTAAGCCAAAACTATGACATACGCAGTTATATCTGAGGCTGATCATAATTTTTATACTAGTCTAATAGGAGACCCTTCAATAGAGGAAGACATAGATGGTTGTAATGGCGAGTTAGACTTTGACCAATAATATATTTTTCTTACTACCTCGACTGAAAATACGTTGTTTCGTCCCCGATTCCACGGCAGAAAGTTTACGTTTCTTGCATTGGTCAAGCTATACGCGCACACTCTATAATAGCGGGAGTAAAAATTTTTTAGTCGTGTGCTCAACATATGCAACTCTGATTACGACACTAATATAACCTCAAAATTTGGGCAGGCATCAATATGTTTCGATATACACATTTAATTTTTTCCCGTATTTTCGGCCGAGGTAGTAAGAAAAATAGTATACACTACACGGGCAGAAAGTGTGAGAGCCCGGAACTGCGCGCAGTGCAGGAATCTCACACTTTCTGCCCTTGTAGTGTAATATACAATTTTCCTGTTCCGCAATATAGAACCAAGTGTTTTTCTTAGAGTAAAACTTTTATTTTTTGATATACGTAAGTTTTTTTTATTTTTATTGTAACTTGGTTGCGGACCCAAGTGATTTTGTTAAATTTTCAATTAAGCAATAGGGAACCAGGTATTTTTTCCATACTTGGAATAACTTTTTAAGTGTTTTTGTTCATTAAAATTATTGTTCTGTTCATATATAGTAAAATATGATAGCGTTTGTTCAGTTTAAAAGTGTTTTTATAAATAAATTTTTTAATCAAAAGTCTGAAACGTTTTTCCTTATTTTCTCGTAACTGCAAATATGTTGTTTGGTTCTTTGTTGCATAACGGGGTCCACTTTATCTACGACGAACACAAAACAGAATTTTAAGCCAATTTTATTTGTTAAAATTTTGACATCTGTCAACTGTCACCCGAATTTAACCTCACTTTTTTCCAATTTATAATAAAGCTAACTTCAGCCCGTGACGTAAAATGTCGAAAAGCCACTGATGTTAACTTCAGCCCGTCAATAAAACGCCATAAAGTTACAGCTCGTCAATGTATACATAGGAGTAGATAAAATATTTAAAATATAAAATGCAATTGTTTAAGTTTAAGTAAAAATATTGATTTTAATAAAATGGAATTTGAATATTTTATTCTTAATTAAAATCGTAACTAAAATGGCGTTTATAAAACTTAATACATAATAAACTATTTTGATTATCAATAGTTTTGAGTTTACAAAAATTTAACTATTTTGGTAGAAAATGTTTTAGATGTGTTTTTATTTTAAATGTTTTGACACTATTTTTAAATACTAAAAAAATTAACTTTACCAAATTAATATCTCAATAATTTTATAAAATATTTATTTAAGTTTTACTACTTGGGAAATTATTTTTATTAAAAAATGATGTTTTGCAAAAATTATAGAAAATAAAATTGTTTAATACAGAAGTGAACTGTTAGTTAGTAAATTTTGTCTTTCAATACATATGATAGTTAAAAATATTGTATTGTAAACTAAATTAAATTTAGGTTATATCAAATTTTATAATATTCATATTATGTAAAAGCCACTGAAAATCTCGTAAAGAAAATGAAAAAAAAACAATGCCAAAACATTTGATGTGTTTATTATTGTTATTAAAGTAGGAAAAGTGAGAATTAAATGGTGATTGCATTGAGGCGAATTTAAAAAATACCATATTTTTGTCCTTATTTGGAAAGAATAATAAATACTTTTTAATAAATTGTATGAAAAAAAGCATTTAACAATAAAAGCCGTACAGCCGGCAATTCTTCTTGCAGCAATTTTTCTTGCAGCAATTTTTCTTGCCATCTAGTTTTCAAGGCCGTCTTGCATGTTGTTTTACAGCCGGCAATGGCAAGAAAACTTGCAGTTTATTACCGTGCTACCAACCGAAGAAAAATATACGATTTTGTAAACACTAAGTTTATTTGTTATTTAGTGGAGATATTTAAAAATTAATGAGTGAAATGGATACTAGAACTTTAAACACAATGTCAATCATAAAACAAATAACCTTAAACTGTTTAAGTCAAACAGCGTCTCTCTAGGGAATTTGTAGTAGGGTTGGTAACATATAAGTTACCAGATTTCACCCCAGAATTGCCGTAATACAGCAATAAAAATCCATCCGGACCGATTTTCGGCAATTGCAAGAGATTCGTCAAAATGTATCTACCGCGCATGCCTACGGCAATTTTCATTGCAATTGCCGAAAGAATTGCCGGCTGTAATACGGCCTTAATAAACACATAAAATGATGATATTTTGGATTTTATAAAATTAAGCTATTTAGCATGTTTATAACAGCAAAAATTTGGCAACGTAGTATTTTGACCACGATAGTCAATTGTTTTGGCATTGTTATTTTCGGGTGACGTTCACAATATCGAAATTCATTATATCGAATTCAAAATATCGAACACTTTTTATCGAAAATCAAAATATCGAAAATTCAAAATGTCGAAAATCAAAATATCGAAAATTCAAAATTTCGAAATGAAAATATCGAAATTTTATTTAATCGAATTTTCAATTTATCGAAAATAAAATCTCGACCGCTGTCATACAGGTTATGACGAATAGCTGTCATCTTGGTTATGCAGGTACACTGCATTGTGCCATACCAAACCAACCCAAACTTAACAACCCAACCCAACCGACCCCGCCCCATTGGGCCCCTCCCGCCCCATTGAGCAATAGAGGTATAATATATCTAAGGGCAGGCTGGATTGTGACAATGGGGCGGGAGGGGCCCAATGGGGCGGGGTCGGTTGGGTTGGGTTGTTAAGTTTAGGTTAGTTTGGTATGGCACAATGCAGTGTACCTGCATAACCAAAATGACAGCTATTCGTCATAACCTTGAGGAATACTTTGCTACATTTAGCCTCTAGTTGAAAATGAGGTTAAAATATGCGAGGGGGAGACACTACCTTTTATTATTCGACATTTTCAAATCGACATTTTAATTTTCGATATTATCATTTTCGACATTTTGAATTTTCGATATTTTGATCTTCGACATTTTGTAATTTCGATATTTTGATTTTCGATAAAAAGTGTTCGATATTTTGAATTCGATATAATGAATTTCGATATTGTGAATGTCACCCGTTATTTTCATTGTCTTTACGAGATTTTTAGTGACTTTTACATAATATGAATTTTATAAAATTTGATATAACCTAAACTTAATTTAGTTTACAATTCTTATCATTACATGGACATATTAATATGTATGGTATCATATATTTTAAATCCCCCACGTATGACTATGCACATAAGGTAGATCATCTCACCTCAAAAAAGGAAACAAGGTCATCCATACAAAATAATTTGATAAAAAAAAGTTGAAACAAAAAAAGAGTTGTTAAAAAAATAATTTCATGAATAAGTTGATAAATAACTAATTTCATAAAAAAATAATTTGGTAAATAATGCATATAATTAATTATTAATAAAGCAAAATAAGACTTATTTAATAAGTTCATTTTGCACTTATAATTTTGACACAAACGGCGCACTGTGTCGTATTTGACCTGTATAGGTGACCAAAAGTCGATTTCTGAAGTTGCCCTTACAGCAAAAAAATATACATAAAATTGATCATTATGCTTTTCTTGACAATGTACAACCATTTGTTTATTTATAAAATATTAATAAGGACCGTGACGTATAAAATTTTAAAACAATGCACAAACACATTTTTTTATATAAATAACTCGCGCTTGGTAAATATGCGATTAAAACTATAAATTATAATTAACAGGAGTTATATTTGGTAGATTGCTTTAAAATAAATGTCTTTTAAGGTATAACGTTAAAAATTAAAAAAAATATTTTATTTTATATATAGTAATAGCCGTTCAAATTTTGTCAATTTTTTTAACGTGCATTCAAGCAAACTTTTTGCAAATAGTAATGGTGCCCCAGGTTGCCCCAATTTCTTTTGTGTGTGGAAGTGTTTGTTAATATATGAATAATGGTCGTTATTAAGGATTTTGACGGGAAATGTTGAGAAACTTGGCTACACTTGATTTTATGTCAGAGCTTATTTTTTTAAACTTTTGTCTTTATTTTCCGAGTTTTTTTAAATCTGGCGCCTTAAAATTAATTAAAAACATAAAAATAATAAATATATATTAATTTAAAACTAATTTTTATGGCCAATTGGCTATAAAAATAACTTCTTAACTTTCTTGCTAACAACATCCATTTCAAATACCCAAATTTAGCAATCTAACGGATTTGAGAAAAATAAATGGCAGATGAGGTATCTAAACAGAAAACTTTAACAGGATAAGAGTACAAGTGCGGAATCCCTTTTAGCTCTGCAAAAGGCCATTAAAAACATAAAAAAGTACGTAGAATAAAAAGTTGTAAAAATCGAAAATAATAAAATTGGTATCGTCCCAGAAAAAATTGAACACCCTGTATAAATTAAATTACAACATTAAAAAATATGTATTAATTCAAATATTTTTGTTCCCTACAAATTTTTCATGACTACAGTTGTTTCTGAGATAGGCATATGGGTTATCTTACGTGGTTCACCCTGTACTTAGCTTCTTTTAATCCTAACTAATGGTTAAATTTATTAAAAATTATCTTTTTGTATAACAAAAAAGCATTTTCAATATGTTTTTCAACAAAAATATTTTTGGTCACCTAATCACTCTGTTTACGACATAGTGCGGCGCCTCATACAGGTCCTTGCCTCTGATAATTTTTTTGAAATAACTTAATTTTCGTAATAATGCTTAAAAATATGAGAGATATTCACAAATATCACAGGTGTTATTGGTCACGATGCCGAGACTTGGTTGATTGGTGGGAGGGGGCCCTGTTAAGACTAGACTGAGCTTTCTTTGTGCGGAAGGGGGGTCTGCGTGGAGCAGTTACGCGACTGCAAGATGGGGGCCCACGTCACGTGGTACGGCTTCACAGGCATTTGCGTGGCACTGTTGCGTTTCTGCGACGGCCGGGCGGTTATCGTGTATGGAACTATAGAAGAGTCTAGCAGTCCTTCCGAGAACGATTCTAAAAACAACAAAAAACATACATATTAAGACATTTATATTTTTTCAAAGTGGGTGAAATTGTCTAACATTAATTATAATTATGTTTAAAATTAATTAAAAAATAACTAAACAATCAAAGTTGGTCTTAATTTTTAAAGGACTCAAATTGACAGATAATCTATCACATTTTCTAATAGTTTATTAAATTATCTATCATTTAATAAGGGTATATTATATTACAAGAGATGTAAGTAGCATATTACGCGCGAGCGGCGAGGTTAAACTCAAAGCCGCTTGCGGCGAGTATGTATGGGAGCCGGGAATACATCTGAGAAACGTTGCCATTCGTTCGCGTTCGTTTGCATTCGTTCCCATTCGTTTTCAAGTGTGGATGGTCATTTGTGGTCATTCGCAACGAATAAATTTTGGTGCGAATGGTCAGCACAGCGAACGAACGTTTTCCATCGTCTGTCGGTAAAAAAGAAAAGATCAAAGGAAATCCGAGTTGCGAATGTCTGCGAACGTTGTTAGGCGCTCACATGTGGCAGTGTCAAAAATAATTTGCAGTACTTCGCTACAATCCAGGAAGGATTTTGTTTCCGTTCATGAAGAATAAAAATGAGTGAGAATCATTTTATAGTGGCCTGTGCCTCGTACATAATTATCTATAAAATCATTAAGCGACTAAAAGAAAAACAGAAGAGAAAAAAGAGGCTTGTTTGGATGAATGATTTATATTTGAGTAGAACAAGATATGATAGTATAAACTTACTAGCCGATTCAAATCCTACGTTTTTTAAAAACTTTACTAGAATGTCTCGAGAAGATTTTAGCTTCCTTGAAGGAAGTTCCTTCTGAATATGGTTAAACCAGAAATTGTAAAACGGACTACATACTTCAGAGAAGCTATACCACCAGAAGTCATATTTGCCATTTGTTTACGATTTCTAGCTCCGGGAATGAGTAGAATGCTAGTGAATGTTTTCTGGCATTTTCTGCATGCAATTCGCAAATGTGTCAGTCTACCAAGCAAAGTTGCCGCAAATGACTACGAACGAGCGCAAACGAGCAGCAATGTTGGCAATAACAGTGAATGCGAACGAATGGCAACGTTTCTCAGATGTATTCCCGGCTTTAAGCCAGGAATACATCTGAGAAACGCCTCGTGTCGCTTAATTGCTTTACATCTATACTTTATCTACGACTCCATTCATTTTTAACCTTTCCATTAAAAAACACTTTTTTTTTTAGTTTTTTGAATTTGGCATTAATAGATCTTAAAAATATACCGCACAACAGTGTCATGAGTCAAAAAAACATAATTTTGGGATATTTAGAGCAATAAGTGTAAAATTACTCATGGTCAGAGCTGGGCAGTAGTTAACTACAAATGTAGTTAACTACGTAGTTAACTACTTTTTTCTAAAAATAATCGTATTTTAACTACTTTTTTTACCTAGTAGTTATACTCGATTATTTTAGGTTTTCATAAAATATTCGTAAGAAGTAGTTAAAAAAGTAGTTAACCACTCAGTCGTAACTACTTTGTATAGTTAAACTACTAATATATTTTAACTACTTTTACATAATTTAACTATTTTTGAGGTAGTTATTTAAGTAATTTCCTAGATATGCCATGTGCAGAAACATGGTATTAGTTGTTGTCAAGAACTTGTTGAAAACCCTTCGCCTATAGGCTAACTATAGCGCATTTTGTCTTATTTACTACTGTTATTGAGCAATCCTACATTTCGACAAGTAAAGTGCATAAGTGCAATAAATAAAGAATAATTATGTCTGAAATTGATATTTTTCAGGAGGTAAGTAAAAACGTAAGATTAATTAATTAATTTTCCAATCCTTGGTTCTTCAATCTATGATTAACTTAAGTCTTAAGATTGCCTGCAACTTTGACTTAACCTGTAGTTTAAGTTTAAAGAGTGTTTTTTAATTGCCGGTTAAAAGATTATTATAAGTATATTGTCGAATAAGTTACGCCAATTTACGCAATTTACGCCAAGTATACGCAAAGTTACGCCAATTTCCATCCTTAAAATCTTGGATATGTTCTGTCCTTAAAATGCAATAATTGTATTTATTGTATTTATTGGTGTTTAAATTCATTTGGCAAAAATTAATTTTTATCTGCTTAATTTAGAACTAATAAACGGGGTTTAGCAATGATTAAAGTAGTTTCGCTCAAAAGTGCGAAGAAATACAAAAAATTAATTTTAAAAAATAGACATAAAACTTTGTTTTTTAATAAAAGATTAAAATCCTAAGCAAACATATTTATTATTTTTATATACTATAAATTAAAATAATAATAATAATAATATTAAGTGATTTATTAAATTTTATAACTTTGAGTTATTTTGCCATTTTGGTAGCTGTAATATGTCAAAGAAAGTATACTATAGTTAAAAAAAGTAGTTAAATTTTTAACTACTAACTACTTGTAGTTAGTAATCTAACTACTTTTTTGTATAAGTAGTTTAACTACTAGGTAGTTAAACTACTTTTTTAATTAAGTAGTTAGTAGTTATGCTCCACTACTTTTTTCAAGTAGTTTTTTAAATTAATCCCTGTATATAGGTATTAATTCCTATATATAGGTATCTATAGATGCATCTTATATTATATATACAATGTATATTATACATATTATATGTATATGTATATATATAAATAAAAAAAAGTTTACAGTCTCACGTTGACAAAATTAAAGTGATTTTACATAAAAAATAATATAAATATGGCATATGATATTTTTTGTATTTTATTTGAAAATATTTGAAATTTTTTATTAGTGTTATTTTTGATCGCTGATATCTTTGAAACGGTTGACCTGAAGAACTTTGACCTTCAGATGTTTTTTGTAGAGCGTGAAAATGTCTAAAAATCCTCTCGCTTGGGTGTTGCGAAAACAAACCATTCCAAAATTATAAGAATTCAAAATTTATAAAATAAAAATTCCCGTGAAATGGAAAATCAACAAATGAATTGAGGCAAACCTTAATATTAATATTAAGGGCTCAAATATGCGCCAAATTTTTGTTTTTTAATGTACTATTAATTTTTCAACACCATTAGAAAAAAAATAATTTTAATTTTTTTTGAAATACCCTAATATATATACATGCACGGCTATCAATACGAAGCCCGTTGCATAACACTGACTAGTCAAAGCCCGGCCGAAAGTAAGTTAAGGAGCACCGACAGGTGTTCATTCAAATGTATGGATCGACTCGCAATCGAATTCTAATCAACTTTTGTTTTCGGTTGTCTGTGAATCGCTTTTTTTTAAATCCCGGTGGCTTGAAACCGATAACGGTGTAAAGTCGAATTTTTTACCTTGTTTCGTCCAGAAGAAATACTTCTTGACGAAATTCTTTCGGTTTCTTTTATTGAAAATATATTCAAATTGAAAGATTACAAACAAAAAATTTGAGAATGATAACATGCTCGCCTCGATACAATCGTATCGAGGATAATCAAAATTTACACATACTAGACATTTCAAACGACTTTTACACTCGAGGTGTCAAAAAGTCACCACTGACCGCCAACATGACCAGAATTAGGTATAGTAAAAATATAAGGATAAAGCACGGCCTTGTTTACAGGCGTCTTCCCATTTTTCAGGAAGATTTGATGCCCCCATAAATTAACAAAAATTGCCCCCGCTACCTTGTTTTACCCCCTTTTACCTCCCTTCTCCTAATTGTACCATAAAATTAAGAAAACCAGAAAATTTGATGTTAATAAAACTTTGACCTCGAATAACTCTAGAAGAAATCTATTTATCGAAAAATAATAAGAGACCTTTTTTGTAGAGCGTTACATTTTATATAGGAAACTGCAATGATCATTGCCATAAGTTACTTTGATACAGAGGTATAAAATTACAAACATAAAATTATTTTTTCCCATGTTAATTAAATGAGAAACTAAAATAAAAACAGCGACCTCTTAGAGTTGAGCTGGAACGCCCATATTTGGTGAGAATTTTTTTTATATTAAATAGAAACATTTGAGAGGGTAAGAGCGAAAAACAAAATTAAATTTTATTTTTTGAAGCACCCTAATAATATATATATATATATATATATGTTTTTGGCAATTGGAGTTATTGCATCCCAGGATGCTCCCATTATTGGGAAACGAGGTGGATGTAAAACTCAAGGAAAAAATAGTAAAAAGCTTGTCTATTGCGCTAAGGGGTGTTTTAGCCCTTATTTTGTAAGAGTCGTTTTGTCTGGGAGTAAGGTCATCTAATGTCGGCCCATTGTCGGTAAGCAAGCACCTCTATCTATAAGATAAAGGCGCGATGTCCTTTACGTCCACTATAGTATACGTCAGGTAGCGACAGCCGAGAATGCTTGCTTGTGAATAAATTAGTCTGTTTGCAAATTTATGTCGAGAATTGGGTGAGTGACGAATGTCTATGCTTTTTTTGGTTGGGTTTAGTTTGGTTTGGGCATACTTTTTTGTCCGTCGGCTCCCAACAAGCAATCTTAGTCACCACCCTTAAGTTTCGAACTTAAAGGTGTGTTGTCCGTTACGACCACTACGTTAGATAGCGACAGACGAAAAAGTGCGCTTATATATGTGCTTAGCTGTGCATATTCGTCTTGACACAGTTATTTTTAAAAACGTATAGTATAAAAATCCGTCGAAAAACAATGTTTGTTAATTTATGAGAAAAAATAGTCTTGGCAGTGCTATAAACAAAAATAAGTTATGGGCCAAATATTTACCTTTTTAGAGTTAGACTATTTTAGTAAAAATATATGTGTGACCTATATATATATATATATATATATATATATATATATTATATGTTTTGTAATTTGGTAATGTTATCGAAATAAATATTTTTAATGTTAAATGTTAATGCCGCGGACTACAAGTCCAGTGGTCGTGGGTTCGGATCCCACATGGGGTATGGCTGTTTATTTGTGTTTTTCCAGGATTAAGTGGTTGAACAGCTAATGCTGAATTTCGCCCTTTGATCATTAATCAATAAAGACTCTAAAAAAAGTTGGGGTAAAGTTGCTTCGGGACGGTCATGAATTTTGTTCCTTGAATACTTTCGTTAAATATTTTTAGAAAACGGAATTGGGCAAAAAAAAGAATTGAAGGGTAATAGATAATCATCAACGAATTAAAACAAAATGACCGGTCAATTATTTTTTAAACTAAAATATTACTTATTCGGTTTAATTAAATGAATTTGAATATTTTTTTACCCAAATTTACCAAAAATGTCAAAATATTTTTATGTTCTTCTATAATTTATTTTAGTTTGTAACTGCTAGGAAGTTTAAATCGGACAATAAGTGACCTTTCAAGACTCTAGGGGCAGCTGCCCCCTTGGCGACGCCCCAATGTGGTGTATATTAAGATATTTACATTTTCTAAAAGTGGATCTAACATTTAAAGTCATTATTTTTAAATTGTATAAAAAATAACAAAACTAAAGACACAATGCAATAATTATTGGCCACAATATTTCAAATTGATGCACAAATTTTCAGCGGGAAACTCGTTATAAATAAATCTTAAGTTCTGATTTTATCGATTCCGCAATAAATGGACTTATAGCAGAAAATTATGCAAATTACTTGGTTTAGAGCAGAGAGTTGCCATCCTATACAATATAGTAATACTAGATTACTTACTGCTGAAAACCGCTACCTGTCTGTACAAATTAATGTAAATATTTTTTATAAATCTTGTCTTATTGGACTGTAAAAAAGTTAATCTGTAATTTTATTGGATATGAAATTATGTAGCAAATAACATTCATTTAATTAGGTTTTGGTAAAAATTTTAGAGTTATTTTTAGAAAATTAATTTAGAGAACATAGTGTTTTGTTCAATTGGGCTTTGTACCTAGAGAGATAACTTTTTCGTATTGAGTGATAGCCCGTTTGGACGCAAACTTTTCCACTCAGCGCTTTTCTCCATAGACCCAGAGTCAATTTACTTTATGGCTAAAAATAAATAAATAGGATAATATGTTTTGTAAACCATAATATATTATATTTCAAAATAGGGTTATTAAAACGGTATAAAAACAACTTCAACTCTCTTGAGCTCAAGAATTTTGAAACTTTCGTGAGAAACAGGATTGTAATTATAAAGATTGCAATTAAATTGTAAAGTTAAATGAAGGGGCATGTGAATAAAGAAGCTAAGTAACATTTTTAATAATAAAAAACACAATGTTGTGAAAGTCAATAAAAATAAACTTGGTTTTGCAATTAAAATATTTTTAGACATAATTTTTTTTGTTACCGTTGGCAGGAGGTATAAGATCGGGGTTGTTATCGTCCATGGCCATCTCGTCGGTGTAGGGATTGGACGTCCTGGGATCAAGTGAGCTGACGCTGGGCCCGCCGTCCATTTTGGGACTCCGGGTGCGTGGATTTCTCACAGGACTTTCGACCTTAAAACGGAGAAATGATAAAAAATTATAAGTCAAAGTGAAGGTGCAGCGTAAAGTTTTGTCTTTGGGGAGGATTAGACATGGGCATGGAAGAGAAAAGTTCAATTTAGGGGAATAGCGCGAAATGAGTTTTTAAACTGGAAACTGGGAAATATTGTTGTAAGGTGTATTAACAATTGGCAGGGGAATGGAAGGTTTCAGGTTGTCTTTGGTTATCATATTTATAAGGTGGATTGGTTATTATATTCATAAGGTGGTTAAAAAAATCACAAGAAATTAGGCACAACCTAATTTGTTATAATTACTCTAACGTTAGACATTTGTACAACTTTTTTTTATGGAATATAACGTTAAAAATTCGATAATTCTATGTTAATTTTACTTGAATTTACAAGACTTTATATTTTATAGAATATGAAAAAATCTCACTGTCCGATGGGAATAAAATTATTTATTAGGGGCCATCCATAAAGTACGTCACACCTTTTTAGGGGATTTTATTAACTTTATACAGTGTGTGTGATTTAAGACCGCAACACCTTATTATTTTGGAACGTCTTGAACGATTTTAATTTTTTTGGGACTCAATTAGCTCTATTTAGGAAAATTTTTAATTTTAATTTTTTCAAGGCCTGCTAAGATCTGCTAGATGGGTCAAAATTTAGTGATCCCCTTAAGACATGCCTCAAATATATTTATACAAAGTATAAAAATATGAATATGTCATAATGTTTTCGGTGGGGTTTCTTCCCGAAAACCCTCCCACCCGTAAGATGTCTGTTATGCTCTAAGTCGAATAAATACTTTACTTACGTATGTACGCATAATGGATTTATATACAGACTAAGTCGAAATGTAAATAAATTGAAGCGAGCAAGAAGAAAACAAGCGGTTAGAATGGGAAAAGTGTGTTCAGAATGATTACACTGTCAAATATTTTGCAACAGGGCTGAAATATTTTTTTTGTCTTCAGGGCACCCGAAAACTAAAATTTCCTACAACAAAAATTGGGGTTATATTGTACGTTTGTATTGATTTTCAACGTTCGACAGATGACTAAAATGAGGTTTTCGTTAGATTTGCTTCTTGATCTTTTAAACCATATCTTTTGAATGAATCAGTCAAATTCTTTGGCTGACCTTTTTCGCATTTTTAGTTTTTGGGTGCCCTGAACACGAAAAAATATACCAGTTCTGTTATGTTCGCATTAGAATTTGGATTGGCTACGGTACCTACTGGAGCATACTAAGATTTAAGAAATTTTTTAAAAGTATATGAAATTATCTAACATTTGAAGTAAATATTTTTTTAATTTGGTAAAAAATAAAAAAACTAAAGACTGTCAAAGTTTGTCTTAATTTTAAGAGAACTAACATTAACACGACTTTATATTTTGTGAGTACATAATAAGGGTTGGGTTATATGGAAAACTAATTCAATACTGTATCAAAATCTTAGAAATTGACTGTCTAACATGACTCACGTTACGGGAGACAACCAGTTAACATTTCTAGTAGAAATTGATACCATTGATAAAAGAACAAAAGTGAGTTAAACATTGACTAATATTTCTTACCCTGAACCGCCTTATGGCGAATATAATGGCTCCAATAGCCGCCGCCACTATCAAAGTAGACCCAGCAGCCAACAATATGTATAGCCATGGACCTGTACTGCCAACTTTGCTTTCGGAAGGTTCCGTGCTTCTTCGTTGCTCTTTTAGGCCCGGAGCGGGCAGCGTGTGAAACACCAGAGGCATCGTCGGTTTAGAAAAACCCTTTAAATTAAAAGAGGAAACCATCGTCGAGTAATCTTGAGTCGCTTCCAGATTAGGGATGTAAAATTCCGGGATTGTCGATGAAGACATGTTGGATATTACGTTTTCTCCCATGCTTAGCACCAACACGAATTTTTGCCTTTGACCTAAAAATTTAGAACATATTTAAAAGATCTGGTTAAAATACCCTAAAAGAACCTTTATTTAAATTTTCTTAAAAATGTAAAAAGCCATAAAACTGTGCCTGTCTGGGCTAGTGTGGGTAATTTTTAGTTTTGAGATGCACATGCGTAGTTCCTCTGGCACTCTTTAAAGAGTTAGTGAATATTCACAAATTCTTTAAAGAGTGCCAGAGTGTTCGAATATTCACCATTCCTCCAGTTCCAGAAGAACTACTCTGGGACAAGGCTCAAATTTTGCCGTTCTTTGTGTGATTTGTATTGTGGCACGGCGTTCTCTATATATAGAGAACGCCGTGATTGTGGTCATTTAAAGTTTATTTCTGCCTTTTTCACGTATATTTGTGAATTTTTTACGTTTCCAAAAACTCTGACGATTGATGAGGAAATCAATGAGTAAATTGATCGTAAACCTATAAATCTACCTACTTGGATAGCAAACATTTTAAAGTTTGTGTTTCTATATTAATTTTATTATTGTTTAATTTTTAAATATAATGTATACTTCCTTGCTTGTGTGAAATTCTTTATTTGCGACTAGTTTCGGTTATACACCATCTTCAGGCAAACTACAAATAATGAGGTATTAAATAAATATTTAAAAAATTTTAAAGTTAGGTTAAGTTATTTTGGTTAAAATATTTGTTAATTACGATTATTATAAATATAGTTAAAAATGTAAAATTAGTATCTACTTACAATGTCAAGTTTTAAAATATGAATTAAAATAATAATGTATTACGAACATAGAAGTTATAAACAATTTTTACACTTTATAAATAAATGTTTTTTGTGGTAGGTATGAGATGTTGGTTGTGGTCTTACAGGTGTTTGAAAATAGGTTCAAAATATAATTCTACTTGTTCGTTTAGTAGGTTACATTTGTCTTTGTTTTTGTTTATTTCATAGGCTTCTAGAAGTGTTAGTTTTATTCCTTTTTCTTCTTGATGTAATATTTTTATATTTTTCCAGTCTTCAAATTTATGTCCGCTTGATTGTAGATGTCTTCCAAAGTTTGATGTTTTGGTATCTTTTATGTGTTCTTTAATTATTATTTTTATACTTCTTCCTGTTTCCCCAATATATTTTGCATCGCAATCTTCGCATGTTATGCAGTATACTCCGTTTTTATCGAGATAATGTGTATTGTCTTTTCCGTTTTTTAGGCAGTTGATAAGGTTTTCTTTTTGTGATGTTGCGCAGGTGATTTTGTATTTTTTAAGTATTTTTGCTATTTTATTGTTTATATTTCCCTGATATGAAAATTTTTTATAAGTATGTTCTTTGGTTTTTTCAGTGAGGTTCAAGAGGTGTTTGTTTAAAAGTATTTTTTCTTGTTTTTTAATTATTTTCTCGATAGTAGATAAGGGAAAGTTATTTTCTGATGCAATTTGTTTGATGATGTTAAGTTCGTTTTCTTTGTTGTTTTGGTTCATTGAGATGTTTAAAGCTCGGTGTATGAAACTGTGGAATGCTGCAAGTTTGTGTTTGTATGAGTGGTGTGAGTCGTATGGTATAAGGGCGGATGTGTTAGTCGGTTTTCTATAAATTGAAATGTATTATCTGTTCTTGTAATTGTAAGGTCTAGAAAGTTGATGGATTTTTTTTTTCTATTTCTATAGTAAAATTTATGTTTTTGTGTAGGTTGTTAATATATTCATGAAATGTTTTTAATAGATCTATGTTGTTATCCCAGATTAATATTATATCATCTACATACCTTTTCCAAAATTTTATGTGTTTGATAATGTTATGTTTGCTGTTAAAGATCCATTGTTCTAGTTGATCTATAAAGATGTTGGCTAGTAAGCAGGCATTTGTGGCGCCCATAGGTAATCCATCTTCCATTTTATATATTTTATTATCAAATTGGCAGTAATTTTGTTCTGTTGTTAGTTTAAATAGTTTAATTATATGCTGTATCTCTTCAGATTTATCATTTATATGTTGGTGAAGTATTTTTTCAACGATTTTTAATGTTTCTACAATGGGTAGGTTTGTAACTGGTGATGTTTAGAAATGTTTCTATTGTGAATTTATTAAGATTGTATGTAGGGGACTTAACCTAACTTTAAAAATTTTTAAATATTTATTTAATACCTCATTATTTGTAGTTTGCCTGAAGATGGTGTATAACCGAAACTAGTCGCAAATAAAGAATTTCACACAAGCAAGGAAGTATACATTATTAAACATTCCATAAACCTTGCTAAAAATGGATTACCAAAACCTAATGAAAATTTTATTATTATTATTAAAAAAAATATTTTAGTTTCATTTTTATGTTAAATTTCTAAAAACTACATGCAGAAATACAAAGTAAATAGTAATTTACAAGAAGCCTTTGAAACACAAATTTCGTTTTACAAGAATTTTTTTCTTTGTTTTAATATTTTACCTAATGTGTGTGGATGGGTCTTTATATAATTACTAACGCTGTTGTTGGATATCGTGTTTGAATCATAATTTTATCAAACAAATATTTAACTTTTAAAAAAGGTTTTTTACTTAAAATTTAAAAAATATTTTAGTTTCATTTTTATGTTAAATTTCGGGCCCTATTAAGCTCTCGGGTTCTAGGCGGCCGCCTACTTCACCTACTGGTTAAACCTTCGCTGTAAAAACTACATGCAGAAATACAAAGTAAATAGTAATTTACAAGAAGCCTTTAAAACACAAATTTCGTTTTACGAGAATTTTTTCTTTGTTTTTATATTTTATACCACCTAATGTGTGTGGATGGGTCTTTATTTAATTACTAAATCTGTTGTTGGATATTGTGTTTGAATCATAATTTTAGCAAACAAATATTTAACTTTTAAAAAAGGTTTTTTACTTAAGGTGTAGTGACTATGTTGTGAGAACTGGCTAAATACCTTGTCACCTTAAGTAGAAAACCATTTTATGGTTTTGGATAACCATGTCTTTTGGGCCGTAGTGGAATGTGATTTTTGACTCCCGCTATGAAGTGAGCCCTTTTTCGTTTGGACGGTATCCGGTGGCTGATTACATCTCACCGCTGTCGCTTTACTTTTAAGTAAGGCTTTTTACTCCGTAAATGAGTTTCCAGCGTTTAATTTTTTATATTTGGATCATTATGCTAAATGATTTTTGACCTATCCTATATCTGTAAAAGATCTCTTAGATTAAATAAATAATATTATTATTAACATTATTATTACTTAATTTCGTCTGGGTTCAAATTATTGATAGCCTGGTATATATAATTTAAATTAAAGAGCATTAATAAACAAATTTAACTTTACCATTCTTACCAGCCAAAGATATTTTTGTGTGGTTTAATGCAGTACAAATTTTAACTCCACTTTAACAAGAAAATCTATTAAATATTTTAAGGTATTTTTTAAAGAAAATTGATGTCTTCTGATACCGGTAGGCCTACGAACATAAAATAATTTATTACCAACCCCGCTCATTATACAATTATACATCCAGTTAAAAGCTTTTTAATTACGCAAAGGTATAATTTACCCTTAAACTAATTTATTGTAACATAGTAAGTAGCTAGAAACTTTTTGTGTAATGCGAATTTTATTATATCATCCTCGTTTTTATTACTGCACTTTAAGCTGATTTATTTTATGTAATGAAAACGTCGCCTTCTCTTTTGATCAGATTTAGATGCACACTTAATTTTTTTTACACTCAAATTTTAAGTTTTATGTGCCGCTTAAATATTAAGAAAATTGTTGTTTTGTACATTAAATTACCATGGTACTTTAAATTACCAGGTACTTTAGCTACGTTTTAGATTGTTTTCATTTTAGACTGTTGATATTTTAATCATTTTAGCTTGTCTTATAAGAATCAAAATATTAAAAATTGCATTGTAATTGTATTTGACCAAATATAATCTGGTCTTTTTGACATAAATACGTCAGAATGATATTGGTTAAAACCTAGACAACAAAGCTTACTAGATCATTCAAACATACCTCCATCGAATCCTTTTTTACATGTGATCAATGCGGAATGATGCGTGACGTTGAGCACCGAGCACGAGTGCGGAGGGTCCGGTTTGCCAGCCGGCACAATGTGATAAGTGCACGGCACTCTCTGCGTGCCGAGCGCGTTTTTGCCCCAGCACTGCAGCGTACCGTAGTCGGCGGCAACGCGCGGCATATAGGTGAGAACACTGTTTCCCGTGCCCGAGGTGTATTCGTTGAGCTCTCGCGATATTCCAGGTGTGCTGTTAAAGCTCCAGCGGTACAGTGATGCGGCTGGTTCGGCATCCACCTGCAAGTAACACAATCAACAAAGTTAATATAATTTTTATATAAAAATATATTTTTCATTTAAAAAATTGTTTTTAACTCTTTAAACCCGTACATTTTTTATTGAAAAACTTGTTTGGAGAAGCATGCTTAGGCTAAAGTAAAATCATGACACATTCAGCAGTTAAGCTAGAGGTAGACGAAGGTAGGTAAGAAGGGATTGAACAAAGAACAACAGAGAATTAATCCACCTGCACGGCGGCAATTTGACGATAAATACGGATTGAATTCCCTACTCCCTGCAGCCCATCCCCATCCTCGTCGTAACCTTAAAATATCACGGACAACGAATGGCATATCGATTGCGAAAGTTTTCCCGAAACTTTTCCACAATATAAACCGGCACAATAGCCTTACCGCAGCGGCAGCGCCGGAAATTTTAGAGCATGTCGTGAATTTGTCTCGAATTGCAAAGTGGGCCCGCGGTTCAACGGTGTAAAACTAAAGAACTTAACTGATTCACTGGATGGATGCTCGATGCTCGAATGCGCTCTGGATATAAATCTACCACGACCAAACGAAAACTATTTTACCTCTAAAATAAAAACAAAATAAAAAATAAAAAGAGTTGTTCTCAAAATAAAATAAATAAAATAATACACAAGTACCTAGTACCTACACTGTATGTCCTACAGACTTTTTGGTATTTTCCTTTTACAAAATCAATTTGCAATACCAGTTATTTTTGGAAATTGCAAAATTAAAACTTTTAAAAATAATGTCTTTACTATATCCTTCAATATAATACTTCTTTAATTCTTTAGGAAACTTAAAATTTTCTAAATAATCATCAAGAGAGAATGTGTTTTATTTCTCCATTTTATAACAATGCAACCAGATGGTGCTTTTAAAAAATATATCCTTTGTTTCTTACTATTTTAAATTTCTTACTTTTTTTAAACATCTTTGTTATTTTTTAACATTATCTACCGAAGAGAATATTTCATAAGAGTTTTTATGTTTAATTTTTTTTCTCGATAAATGGTGCATATTCTTACATTTGTAATTTATGCAGTATCTACAAAAAATCATACAAAATAAAGAAGCACCCATTTAGTATTTAATCAAATGCGTTGTTCCACAGCACTATTATTCCCAAGAAAACATTATGCCACAAACGAGATAAACATTCTAAAAAGTTGTACTTAACCCTTGTGGTTCCCTTACCCAGATAGCACACAAAGTCTTGAATATGTCTTTTGTATGTCTGTATTATGCCTGCACCTCTGAAGATCTAAAAAATACGTCTAAAAGACGCCTTTCGATAGACGTCTTAAATATATCTTCATTTAATGTTCCAAAGACATCTTATAAATGCCTGATACCGCCGTTTATTTATTTTTTATAATTTTTTGATAAAATAGTCAATATCGAAATTATATACCATAATCAGCGACTTCATAGTAAGATATATGGCGGGTTTATACAACTATTGATAATTTAGTAGACAAAATATTTCATAACTTAATTCTTAATTTAATGAATTATTTAATACATAATACATTACTTTAAAATCTGGTTTATACAATTCATTAATTTAATAAATATTTTATTATATTTTATTTATGGAGAGAAAAATTTATTTCATAAAATTTAAATTTTATGAACTTTCAAGATTACTCAATAAACACTAAATTGTGAGTTAGGGATTAAATCGTTGTATAAACTGTTTCATAGCAGATAGTACGATTTAACTTTTATGAATTATGAAATAAATTAATTATATGAAGTTGTATAAACCCGCCAATAATTAGGTACCATCTTATTTTGGTGTAATAGAAACAACATAAATGTAGGATTTTGAGTTTTGACAACGATGATTAGTAATGTAACTGAATAAATATATATCTGACATTCTTGTAGATTGATTATTTTTCCTACAATTAATAATATCCATTTGTAATAAAAACATTATAAACATGTTTTTTAAAAATTAAGTATTAAGACAAAATAACCTTAAAATAACCCAGCCAAAGTTTTTTAATCAAATTACCCGCACATTTCCCATAATGCAATGAAATCATCAAATCGGTACCATCTTATAAGTCACGCCATGTGATCCTTCTTCTTTTCTATTAAACCAAGCGCTGATATGTCTGCCTCTTTTCACTTCTTAAATAACTCGTAACTAAATGCAGATTGTAGACATCCGACGCTATTTTTGCTTCTTTTAAGTAAGTATGTTGAATTTGTTTGAAGGCTATTACCTACTAATCGTGGCGGTTTTTCTTTTTTATGTTCCCGTTTTTTGTGAATTTGGTGTCGTTTTTGTGGTATTTTCCGAGAAAATAATTGATAGCCCGAGGGATACCCTGGTCTCTGACCCTGACACCCACCTATAATACAAGGGCTTCAGACAAAAGGGTTCTATTTGCCAAAAAGTTTTGACTATTGATTTGAATTAATAAGCAGAAATAAATAAGTAACAATTTAATTTTTTTTAATAGAAGTATATATACTTCGTATACGTTATTTTTAGAAGTTTAAAAGCATTATTAGCTACATTTTAATTACATAATACATTAAAAACGTTTTGGCGATGTAGCAATGCATAACCAAGACGTTTTCAATAGGTAGTCTTTAACATCGTAAAGACGTTTAGCAACGACTTAATAATGCCGTTAAAAGGACATCTTAAAGACGCTGTGTTTTATAACATTAGATATCTTAAAGACGTCTAAAAAATGACTTACGTCGTACACTGGACGTCTTAGAGATGTCATAAACGTCCGAGTCCGACATCTTTAAAATATCTTTAATATGTCTCTGTGCTTGGGTAGGCCCGTAGTTGATAAAAAGGAGTAAGTGAGTAAGGCCGGGCCTCGGTGGCATTATTAGCATATCAGCTAGCAAGCAGGGCAATCATTTTGGGAAAGTGGCAGTAGCAGCAGGAAGACGGTTATGGTTAGGCATGACAAAACAGATCAAGGAAATCAAATGCTGCTTCCAGCTAGATCTCCTTGTCCCTGTCACCCATTTTCATACACATCGTTATTTTTTATACACGAAATACTGTTAGAAAATATAAAAATAATATTAAATTTGAAAAAATCATGAAAGAGTATAATATATATAGTATAATATTTATATACATATGTATATAATATATTATATCATGAATATATTTTATCTAAAGAATATTATTTGTTTGTTAATTTTAGTAATAAAATAAATTTACCTAGTAAAGTCATGGTGAATAATTTATTTAGTTTGATTTATTTTAATACCTACATACATAGCGTGTCTCTTATCCGAATTATTGTTAGTAATTTGTTTTCGTAGTATTACTCTCGGTATCGATTGTATGTAAATGAAAAATCAAAATAATGCATTACACAGCATTACACAATAAATCTATTGGAGTGTACTTTGAACGGCCCAATTAGGTTTGTCGAATGCCCATTGTCATTCTCATATTCAGTCAGACAAAACGGTTCTCTATGCTTTTTGTTGGACCCAAATCAATTACCGGCTTGTCGGTTGGAGATACCGCTAATAGGAATTACAATACCTTGTCTATGGACCAAATTAGAAAATTTAAAATACATTTAAAATTTACAAACGTACTCGATAAACATGATTCAAAACAATGTTTACATAAAAACACGATCATACTGTGATTTAGTTAAATTCAAATTACTTAATAATTTTTGTTTGGTCCAGTTGAAATCAGCAAAACATATTCCTTACATAATTATTACAAATTATTTAAAATATAATGTGTACTAAGGTACAATAATTTGTATAATGGCGAATGGCAAGTACGTACATAATTCGATAGTTACTCATTAAAAGCAACATAAGCGTTTTATTACATGCCCCAATATTTAAAATATCAACTCGAATTAATATTTACCTTGTTGAAAAGTTACAATTTAACATTAAATATGTTAATTTCAAAATAATAATGTTGGTTTTTATTGGTATTTAAAAATTTTGATTTATAAATGATTAATTTTAGGATTAAAACTTGGAATTTCAAAGCCCCATTCTATTACGGAAATACTCCCATGTGGTTTAAAGTTAAAGGTAAAATATCAAACGTGTTGGTGTCCTATGTCCAGCGGCGGATAGTGATTTTTCGAGGCCCTGGGCTACGCTTGTTTTTGAGGCCCTTAATCCCCAGTGTGTCCTATATGTAAGGGCTACTGCTACATTTTTTTTGCCCCATGAAAACAAAATAATTGGATATTTTTTAATTTTATTTAAGTAAAAAAAAATACAAATTAAAACACATTTAATTGAGGCATATTCTTTGATAGCATTATAATATGACATGGTTCTTGATAAATCATTTTTAGTTGATAGTAGTTTAGTCTTTTATCCAGCATCGCGCTTCGATATTTATTTTTGATGTAGGACATCCTTGAGAAAGCCCTCTCTGCTTTACAACTCGCAATGGGCAGTGTTAAATATATTTTAATGATCGTGTACAAATTTGAAAATGTATCCATTAATTTGTGATCGTGTATATGTTTTAGCATTTTTGAGCAGGAAATGTTTTCAGTATTACCAGAATATATAATTCCAATATATTCTTTAAACTGTACACATTTATTTTTCAGTCCATCGCGATTTGGTAATATAAAGACGATATAGACGATGCCTTTAAAACTATAAGCCAACTTCTTGTATACGCAGCTTCTTTTATTTAACTCTTCAATTAATTTATCGATTAATACTATGAAAACATCAACGCGGAACTTATTTTTTCCTCTAAGACGGTCAGTACCCCTTTCGTCGTTCAAAAATATTTTTGTTCTGATCCTCATATTAGAATCTTTAAAATTTTCTTCAATTTTATAATTTAACTGTTTGGCCTGCGTCTCATAATTATCAAATTTTGTTTTGTAATTTTCTCTTATCGCCTTTACAAATAATTCTAAACTTGACATTAAAGAAAATCCTTCGTAAATATCTAAACCGGAATCTTGAAGTTTCTTGCTTACTTTATTAAACTTA